ATTTTATCCTGCTACTTGTACCTGGCAATGCCCTGTTACCAGATGCAAAGATCACATTAGCTTGTGGGGCAGCTCGCTTGTGTGTGCTTGTGGTCAGCCCATGAGAGCCCCAAATTTTTCTTCAAGCTCTTCTAGCAGGGGAAGTCCCACAGCCACAAGCCAGCTTCTGTGTCACAGCCTGCTTTCAGGAAATACTGTTTTCCTCCAACATACTGATAAAGTATTAGCTATCCTAGGGGCAAAATCTGATCCATGTGAGGTCACAGTAGCAATGCTCCATCTTTAGCACATTTGCTTACAGCTACATTTTGACAGACAGCAGTTAATTTTTTATCTATTTAACAAATATTAGGGGACTGGAGCATCTTTCTTATGAGGCAGGGCTCAGAGACCTGGGTCAGTTTAGCCTGTTATTAGTACCTTAAGCTGTGTAGAAGATAGGGCACCACCATCCTTTTAATTTCCCAAATTGGGAAGGCAGTGACACAGACAAAGGCAGCCTTTCTTTGAAGGGACAACTGGTCAGAGGCAAAACCATTAAAAAAAAGCCAGTCTCCTGACTCGTGATCCATGGCTGTACCCTATCAGACAGTGTGACCTCTTGAACCTTCTGGAATGTAACCATCTGTGGCAATGAAATTAGGGAAATGAAAGGCCATTCTGCATCAAAAGCTTCCTTTCAGCACTGATTAAAACAGAAAATGTGTACACTGCTTTGACAGAAAGCACTGGAGAAAGGCCCCACTTTGCAATCTGTGTATCTGCGTATATATGTCAGGAAGCAAAAATCCTCCCCTTTCTGTGTGCTTGACCTTCTTGAAAGGTTAATGATTATGTTTAGCTAGAAGTAAGATTAAACTTCATGAAGGGTTTCTCTGAGCAAATAATTTCCTAAAGTGCTTTCGCAGAACACCCCAGCACAATTCCTGCCATTCAGCTGACAGACCCAAGTAAACAGCAATGGTTTCAGTGAATTGAGTGTGTTCTGGTGGGACAGAAACAATCTACCTTGGGAAACAAGTTAAAAGCTTAAAAATCATAGGTGGAAAAATAATTGACCAGGCAGTGAGAGGACTAAAAATTACAAACGCTACAAAGAGCACAAATGGTTTGTGTGTTATGCAGTTAAGAAGGGCTTTCCTGTTAAAGGAGCAGCAGCAGAGTCAAATAAAATACTTTTCTGACTTAAAATACAAAATGAGAAGGATTCCCTGTCAGATGATGCCATGGAGGCTAGACACAGAAAGACTCAAAAGAGGATTAAACAAATTAATGGAGAACAGATCCATTAGCGATTATAAAGCAGGATGGCCCTAAATCCAGCTTTGGCTAAGAACTGTCCTTAAATACTGACTGTCAAAAGAGGAGGGAGTCCTTCCGTACCTACCTTTTCCCTTGTAATTTTGCCTCCACCTTCCGTTATGAGCCCGATCATACAGAGCATATTGAGCTAGACAGACCAATATAACCTGATTAATTATTTTTTCTTCCTCTTAGAGGAGACTGTAGCCATGATCTTTTATGCATGACTACTAAAAAATGTTGAGCACGGCACACAATTGTAATTTCTTTCTCTAGTATGTCCCCCAAGCTAAACACACCTCCTCAACCTACAGTGTGCTTTCCCACCCCCTTGTAGGACAAGAAACTTCTTATAATGCAGCCACCACTACAAAGCAAAGGCTGAAAAAAATTATGTAGGGTGAGCTTGTGCTGAAATCGCAACAGGTCAAGGAGGTGTCACCAGAGGTCACCTGGGTAGCCTGAGGGTCAGAGGGGATGGTGGGACTGTAAAAATGCTCCCAAGCACAACTGGAGCTCTCCTCCCAGCAACCTTCCTTCAGGAAAAACAAAAAAAAGCAGTGACTGAAAATACAACCCTGCCCACACAGTAGGTGCAAGGAATAGCAGAAGACCATTTTTGTTTCCACTGAACAAATAAGCCCTAATTTGCTTTAAAACACAGCATCTGAGAGAGGAAGGGATCAGAAACATCAGAAATCCTGGAATAATTAACAGAAAATAGAGCCATCAGGAACTCGGGAGCCCAAGCCTGGAGTGCCCTCTAGGGGTAACACACCGGTGAGCCGCATAAGGCAAGCGACTGCCAGTCCTGGGCCAAACTACAGCTTTCCTTCACCAAGTCATGGCAGGCTTCATTTTAGCCTGTATTTGCCTGGACAAAAGGAATTACGTACCCACGTTTAGCAAGTTCTCCTTCTCTTTGTCCTGTTTTTCTGCTGATCCACAAGGCTGCTGCGATGGTAAAACAGCCCAAATTTTAGAAGGCCTTGCTTTAGGAAAAATACTTTCTTCATCAATACAGGGACTGAGCAATGTCGAGACAGGGTTTCGTTGACATTACAGTAATAATTGCATAACAAAGACAATTCATGAGACTGAGCTCACCCCTAAACTTTAGGCCAAACACCTCCTCACTGCAGAAGCCCGGCTCTGATGGTCACATAAGGAGAGCAGGCAGGACACTGGGTTCCACAAGCCCTTGCAAAAACCCAGTTAGTGCTTGAGGCAGCAAGTCCAAGCTTTTCTCAGAGACGGAAGGTGAGACTGAGGACTGCTTAACAAAACTCTCCTCCAACACAGTATGTCTCTGCTCACAGAAGTATCTATCAGCTTTGCATGCCAAGAAATTATGACAGAATGCAATCAGCTTTGTTATCCCACTCTCTGAGCATAAACAGGATCTGACAGTTCCCTAATTTTGGCTGCCTGTCCCCTCTGCATTCATATTCCCACGGAACAGAACGAAGCCACATGTGCTGAAAAATCATTCTATGTGCTGAAAAAATATTCCCAGAGGGAGCAAACAGGAGAGGACTCAGCTACCAGAGAGAACAAAACATACCACAAAGGGGCAAATTTCACTTGGGCAAAATTAAGCAGACAACTGAGCTTCTCTCTTTGCATGTGTCTCTGCAGGACGGAAACAATGCTAGTGGTTTCTGTTACACTGTGTTTGCCTTCAAGCCATTTCCAACATGTCTGGGAGCAAGAGTCATCACCCTTCTGTTGCAACTGTAAAACTGTGCATCATTAAGATGGCTCCTCTTCTTTTCGAATTTTGAATCAACAAGCAGAAGCATTTGCAGAAGCTACATAAATATAACTGGGAAGCAAATTCTGCAGCTGTTTGTGTATCTAACAAGTCCATTTAGGGAGCCACACTTACTCAGCCAAGGACAAGACCTCCCATGTGGCTTGTGTGTTCAGTCACAGGTAAGCAACTTAATTGTGGGATATCAATGTTGATAATGAACTGCTTCCTACAGAACAAGGATTATCTACAGATATCTGGTGAAAGGTTTCAGCATTATTTGCTTTAAGGATAAGAAAAATCCTAAACAGAAAGCAAGCAACAGATGCAATTAACTTTAATATTTTTAAAAGGAGATACTTAAACTGCAGTTTAAGTCATATGAATTCTGGAAGAATTACACTGAGGAAACAAAGCATAGAGAAACTCCAACCCAAGCCCACTGCACAAAGCTCTTGGTCAGAGATGACCAACCTCTCCTTCCTAGCAGAAGGATCTGGACACCAACTCACTTCGTGCAACAGGTTACGTACACACAGTACACAGCTCCTGCAATCAGCACATGCCTTAAGCAATGTCCTGCAAGGTGCTGCTGGATCTTGTCCCTGCTGTTTTCCTGTTCAAGTAACCTCTCCTGCACCACATCACAAGAAAACTCTTTAGTTGTCAACAGAGCTCCATTCCTGAGCTACCTTCATAAACTTCTGGCCTTCCATAATAAATGTGCTAAAAATGTGACTTCATAGTAAGTACCATAACACGTCAAACGAAGTTTTCCCAGAGACAAGGTTTGGGTTAAGCTGTTTATGCTAAATTTTGGCACCAGGGTACATTAAGTGGTTTCAAACACAGCATGTCACACAGCACTGCACTCCAGTTCGGGCCAGAAGAGATGCTTTTACCAAAATCATTCATGTGGGCACAATTAGCAGTGTCCTCAGGCATAAAGTCACCCTGGCTTCCACTTCACACAATAGGTTTTTGCTTGAAGCCTGGCACTGCATGGAAGGAATTAGAGCACAGCACTACAGGAAGCCTTGTCAGCAGATATTTTGACTTGGAGAACATGAAAGTTCTCCCTGGTTTTAATGCTAACATTGCATCCATGAGTGAATGGGGACTTAAGAAGTTTGAAACACTTCTTGAATCAACCACAGCAGAAATACTGTTGACAATGCAGGTGCTGGAGCGAGTCCACAGAAGGGCAACAAAGCTGGTGAAGGCTCTGGAGTGCAGGCCTTATGAGGAGTGTCTGAGGGCACTGGGGTTGTTTAGCCTGGAGAAAAGGAGGTTAAGGGGAGACCTCCTCAGTTCCTACAACAATGGTTGAGTGGTGGACTTGGCAGTATTGGGTTAATGGTTGGCCTCGATGACCTTAAAGGTCTTCTCCAGCCAAGATGATTTGATGATTCCATGTGAGGATGTCTAAGCGGTATTTGTACTGTTTCCCAGTAAATCGTCTAGTACCCTCTCATAGATTTCAGTAGCAATCTCTTCTTCAACAGGCACAATGGAAGCACAAACTGTCTTTGCCTTTTAATTTGTGTGTAATAAAAGGTGTCAGATGAGGGATTCTGCAGACTGCATCCTCTCTTTAGTAAGCTGCGACTTTCCTCATACATTCCCAATACTACCCCTTCCCCAGAAAAAGCAAAGTTGGTCCTCCCACCTCCAAAGCCCACCCAGACCTTGGCATCTCTTCTGACATTGTCAGTAAGGGACATTCTGTCTGAATGAGACTTTTTTTTTTTTTACCATGGACCCCTACTTATAGAGACCTGAGCAAAGGTTCTAGATCACCGGTTTAGAATCCCCCTCTAATAAAAGTGATCTGACCTCCTCATCACTACAACTTCATTATATAGATAAAAAACAATGCAATGATTGTGTTGTGCGATGTAACTCAGCTTCAAGCCCACCCTTGCCATGTTCCCCACGTTCATACCTCTGTTTCAGGACGAGGAATGAATACTGGGGGTCTCATCTTCAGAGTCAGGTCCTGAAAGTCCCACTCCCCAAGCACATACTGCACCGGCATTCTGTGACAGGCAAAAGCAAGTATGAACACTTCAGGATTACACTCTGTAACACAGAAAGGCTCTCAACACCCTGTTTATCCTGTTGCTAACCACATCACCCTACTGAGGGTGAGCACCTAGACACCCCAAAGGCTCTCAACTGCATGTGCACCCTAAAGGAGCTGTGGGAGCTCCATTCTCACAAAAGAGTTTGCCACCAAGCACTGGACCTGAGGAACTACAGGCCAGTCAGCCTCATCTTGATACTGGGCAAAGTGATGGAACAAGTACTCCTAGAGACTGTTTTTAAGCATTCTAAATAGAAGATGATGACTGGGAACAGTAAGCATGGGTTTCCAAAGGGGAAATCGTTCCTGACTGGTCTGACAGCCACTCGTGATGGTGGGTTACTCACTCCTCAGTGCGTGAGGAGAGGGTAATTAACACTGTTTCTCTCAGCTTTCCCAAGGGTTTTGATACTGTCATCATAATATCTTCATATAAAAGTTGATGAAATATAGACTAGATAAATGAAGTGAACAGAAAACTGACCAAACCAGCAGGCTCAGAGGACTGTGTTCAGTGACACAAAGTCCAGTTGAAGGCCAATCACTAGTCAGTACCCCCGAGGTCAACAGTGAGGCAAATACAGCATAATCTATTATCTGGATGAAGGAACACCTTTGGCATGTCTGCAGATGACAGAAAACTAGGAGGAGTGTTAAAAGACCAGATGGGTGTACTACTTTTCAGAGCTACCTCAGGAGGCTGGAGAAGTGGGCTGAAAGGAACCTCACCAAATTCAGGAGAGTGTAATGTAAAATCCTGTAAACTAGGGAGGAATAACACCATGCACCAGTACAGGCTGGGAGCCAATCACCTGGACAGCAGCCTTACAGAGTAGAATCTGGGGATTGGAGAGTGGGTAGGTTGACAATGAGCCAGCAATGTGCCCTTGCAAAAAAGAAGGCCAAGAAAAGAATGGCTTCCTGGGCTGCATTAGGCAGAGCATTGCCAAGAGGCTGAGGAAGGAGATTCTTCACCTCTATTCAGCACCAATAGGAAACATCTGGAGTGTTGGGTTCCCAGTACAGGAGAGACATGGACATACTGGAGTAAGTCCAACTAATGGCCATTAAGATGATTAAGGGATTGGAGTATCTGACATACAAGGAGAGCTGTGACACTTTAGCCTTGAGAAGGGAAGGATAGGGCTGAGGGGGCAAGGGAAGGAAATCTCATCTATAACCATTGGTGAGATGGACAGCCAAGGCTAAATTTTAAAGGCACAGAAGAGCTTAATGAAAATGTACCCAACTCAGACTCAGTCTTGCCAGCTTCCTGCTCCTCTGAAACATCCTTTAAACCCTCTTTGCTCCCAGGCAGTACAGAGAATCTGCTACTTGACAAGAAAAGCAAATATCCATCACTTGAGTCGCCATGAGAAACTGCCATGGCCCTGCTCCCTGACATGCCAGCTGCTGATGATCTTCCCCCTTCTCCCATTCTTCTGGCTGCATTAAGACTGAAGAAAAACCCACCAAAGGAATGACTGTAAGAGAATGCTCCTACCTTTCTAGTCGCTTGCTGCTCAACTGCTGGATTTGCTCCTGCTGCGCTGGTGTAAGCGGAGTGTGGAGGCTTTTGCAATTCAAACTCTGAAACTGAAGACAAGGTCACTTTAAAATCTGCCCACTTGTGCCACTTGAATGTCCTCTGCACCTTCCCAAGGGCATCTTCCAGGGAGACTCAGCATGCTGACAAACACACATGCCTGGGGCTGTTGGAAAAATGATTAGGAGAGCCTATTTGCATGTTTAAAAACAAATCTGTTCAACTGTTCTTCTGCTAGTTTTTGGGGCTCAGAAGAATCAGTGATATTAAGAATCATCCCACCAAGCAGGTCAGGATACAGTGTGGATGTATATGTCACATGCTACCTTTCACACTCTGCAAAAGAAAGCATTTAAGAGACCCCAAGTGTTCTACTGGCATTAATAACCTATGCATCATGCTATCTGCCATCTAAGGAAGGAAAAGTTAGTTATTCTATTTCCTACAAGTGAGATAAAAAGAAAGATAAGAGATTCAACAAGTGTTATAAAGTGAAAGGCGCATAGAGACCTTATTCTTTTCCTATTACTTAACTGTTTTTGCTCCCAGAACAAACGACACAATATATTCACTGGATTCTCGTGCTTCAGGTATCCCATTTGTCTCAAACACCTTCTGCCAGTAGTTGACTACATCAGTAGCAATCACAAGTCCAGGTCTTGCACTGCAGTTCTGCCTCCAAGATGACCAATTTGGACTGAGGATAGGACCTTTACTGTGACTGAATCCCACTGGCATGCACCGAGGTGAGAGACTCAACAACCTCCTGAGCAGTGGGTGGGTGAGGCATTTCATTATTGCAAATCAGTTCCTGGCTTCCACATGTGTTTCTTGTTGCCATCAGCTGATGGAGTCAGTGCAGACTCACAGAACACTTGGTGCTACCACAAGCAGCTGTGGTTAAGCACTAGCTGACCACGAACAGTGGATCCTCCTCAGGGCAGCATGGAAATGGCACTGGCTTGCAGCTCTTCTGGTCTAGAAAAGGAGACATGAGGACAGTCTGAATGCCTTGGGCTAGCAAATCACAGCTTCCCTTCTGAGATAATGCTGACTACTTGCCCTAATCTTGGCCCACAGGAACAAAACCAATCACTTACACCCTAAGAGTAACAAAAGGATTACCCCAGGAGAAGGCTTAGGTGACAGCTAACCAGCTCTGCCCCTGCCATCCATTTCTTATCAGCACTGCTCACCTCCCCAAGCCAGGGCTACCAGGAGGCCAGTCTGTGCCACAGCAGGGCAGAAGCAAGCATACCTACACACAGGCACAGCAATTCTACCTGTCCTTGGTCCCAGAAAGCCACAAACACACCAACCTTCAGCTCCAGCCCTTGGCTCTCCACCCCATGCCTGGGTAACCCTGGTTCCCTGCAGGAAGACCTTCACTTTCTCCTAGATTATTTATTTTATTCTTGTCTCTGTTCATAAACCACCAGTCCTACATTAGCAGATGTGCTCACAGAAGACCTTGACTTTGTGGGTCAAGGGTCTTCCACACTGTTACCATCCTGAGAGAGCAGACAACGGGCCAGAGCCAGGGCTGAGCTGCTCAGACCAGAGGAAGGAGAAAAGCAACAACTAGCAGGACACCTGAAAGATGCAAGGACCAGAAAAGGAAAGCCCTGCCAGAGGGAAGTCTCTTAAAGTGGAACACGCAGAGCCATACAGAGAAGGAAGAAAAACAAACAAGATGACTGCAGAAGACAAAACTTTACAAATAACTGCTGCATACCACACTTGGAACTGTGTGAGAAAAAGAGAACAATAACCCCACTCTCCTGCTGTGATCCATCAGAAATTAGGTCCCCTCTCCCTTCTGACTCACAGTCTATGGAGCCACTATGAGCTTCCCTGAGCTCTTATTCCCATTCCTCTAGCGATGACCACTTTTCATCACTGTCTCGGAGTGGCCACATCTTCCCTTCCCCCAGAAAACCATGACACAAACAACCAGCTCTGTGGTTCGGTCTATCTAATCCCCCGCCTCCCACTCACTCACTGCAGTCCAACACATGCACGGCCTGTCCCACACAGGCCTGTCCCGCGCTCCGCCCTGGCCTGCACTCCCTGCTGCTGTCACTGGCCTGAAGCGGCCCCCGCACAAGCCCCGCTGGCCGTTCCGGTGCGGGGGCACCAGGCCCCGTTTGCCAGCCGGGGAGCCGCCCGCCCACGCCTCATTTCAGTGACCGGGCGGCTCTTCGCAAACGAGTCTCACAGGTCACCGCCGGAACTGGAGCCCGGCTTTCCTTCCAGCTCTCCCGGCCCCCCCTGCACACGCAACGCCCTGGCCAAG